ACATCCCTACTTAATTTTACCACGACCCCTCCGACCCGTGAAGCCTAAAAAGATCTACCTCCCGGCCCTTGTCCAAAAAAGTTTCGAGACCCCTGGACTAGAGAAATGGCACCTAGTCAACGCCTCCCACTGCCAACTCTTGGACTTATTTTTTTTTTTTTTTTTAGCAACGAATAGAATGACTGACGTAACATTATAACGCTCCCATGGCTGAAAGAGCACGTTCGGCGACGCGTTTCGATCCAGCGACCCGCAGATTGCAGGCTATACCAAGCCCCTTCCTTGTAAATCATTTTATAAAATTTAGCCATTAATGTATTTGATTTGTTGTTGGAACCAATATTTATTAAAGACAATGTTATGAGTACTTTCTGCTTGTTATGACAATTTTCGGTTATAAAATGTTAACTTATATGGATTTTAAGCACGTGCTTGAATAATGAAACATCTTCGTAAGACAATTGTTTTAAGAATAAAACTGGCAAAATATGATATCGTTGCAAATTAACTATTAAAGTGGGAAAAAAATATATAATTTAAATTCTTGGTACTTTTGGCTTAGACTGTTTATATATACACCTTTGTATTCTTTCGTATTGTAAGAGATTTTTAAAGTATCTAATTTGCAGCTTGATCTCATATTCTAGTTTTGTTTACCTTGCAGTGGTGTAAACTGAAATATGAAACAGATTTGCTCGTATTGTGTAACAATTTATCCAGTTTCGAGGTACTTTAGCTCACATCAGCTAAGCTAACTCGATGGTAGGGGATGTTATCCAGATAAGTTTCTGCTGTTTTTCTAAGATCTTCTACGTTTACTGATAGTAAGATACGTTTTAAACTTATAGAATATGCAATCGCCCTGCCCTTATCAGCTTCCCGAGATAGGGTGGAATATCTTGCTTTTCATTTAATAACATATATTTAAAAAATATGCTCGAAACATTACCAATCTGATTCAAGATTTTTAAATTTCTCCTCTTTTTGTTATTTGTGGACAGCACATATTCAAGGAGTTTCCGAATATATAATTATATCTGACTACAGGGTTAAAACAATAATACTTCTTTATTTACAAACCATTCAATATAGTGGAGTTCTAAGGTTACATTTCCTACCTAGAATCTGAGAAATATATGTTATATGGCTCAAACATACAAAACATATATATTGTATGGATAAAGCACCACTTTAATTTAAACCAGCAACGTGAATCGAATTCAACCTTTACGTGTGATCCAAGCAAACTACCATCATAAACCAGAAGTAAGAACTTACCCAGAAATTGATATTTTAATAATATAAATGGGAGTAAAAAGTTATAATGATCAGAATGAATTGATATTTTCGACCACAACCCCACTGACACACACGTTAAGTGTTAATTAACAATATTACAAATTACAATATTACATATTAAAAAATTAATTAACCAAAAAATATGAGAAGTGGAATGTTATAAAAGCCATATGGGAAAACAGAAAGCTACTGAAAACTTCACAGACAAAACCTGTACTATTTCTGCACGAGTCAATAAATATTCTTGTATATTTAAAGAAAATATTTATGTAAGTTAGATAAATAAAAAATATTTTTAAAATCCGCATCCAAGCGACTTTTATCTTATATTTCACGAAATGTATATATTCAGTTCTTTTAACTCAGCATACTTACAGTTAAAACCACTAAATGAGACTTTTCCCATTATATTAGCACCGTTACTATTCATCTCACTTATCAATCTAGTTTAGCCATTTCTGCAGGACTTTTATATCTAGCCTCCGGACAAGGGATCAGTGGACGTTTAAGTGATAAGTAAAGCTGTTTGACAGGACAAGAAAATAGTAAACTTAAATACTGTTATCAATGCAGAAAAAATGTTAGATCTGAAAATAACATGTTTCTAGGTTATTAACCTATGTTTGCTAAACCACGGGTTTTCTATATTACCTATAATTATTCCGTATAATTATTTTTGAACACGTCCCCTTACAAGCATGCTAATAAGAAGATTTGATAGCGTTAGTTTCTAGTAGTATGTGGAATTCTGATATGCGAAACAGAGAAATTTGCTAAAAAAGTTAAATACATCAACTGAAACCCTTATTTTACGTCTTAAGTCTTTCACAACTGGCTGGGTCCTCAGTATATGTTTACATGTTTTTGACCACATGATTTACTTGATTTTAAGATAACTATTGGTAATGAGAATAACGTACACTTATTTATTCCACTTTACACATAGGCATGTCGGATGTTACAGATTTTTGGGAAGTTATCCCGACAATCTTTATATGAAGTAGCTGGTTATTTCCAAACGTCAAAGGTATTTTAAATTGTACAACAATAAAAATTATTCTAATAACTTCTTCAGTATCTTAAAGTTTATAAAGCTATAAAAATTTTAACTGGGTAATTAGAATCTGTAACACGGAACTACAGAAAAACTTTCAGTTCGAATTTTTGACTACCATGCACAATTCAAGGTTAAAGGTTTTTCAGATGTCAAACGTGGCAACAAAATCAGACAAGAAGGTAACACCATTGTTGAACTTATTTGTTGAGCCTAGCTTCAAACACACTGTTAATACATATATACGATCGATGAAAACCCAGAATCTTTGTTAATAAGTACACAATTGATTAAAACTCAGAATCTTTGTTAATAGTTACACATGATTTTCATCAACTGTGTACTCATCAACAAAGATACTGGGTTTTCATCAACCATGTACCTATTAGCAAAGATATACGATTTTTATCAACTGTGTACTCATTAACAAAGATACTGGGTTTTCATCAATAGTGTACCTATTGAAAGAGATCTTGAGTTTTTATCAACCATATGTAACTATTAACAAAGATGTTGGATTTTAATCAATTGATATAAGATTTTCAGTTTATATAAACTTATTATCAAGACAGTTGATGTGCATGTTTCTTTTGAAATGTGATAATTCTGTTTTACTCTCTGTCTAATTATACATACAATGACGAATAAAGTCAGAGATTGGTGACGCAAAAGGTATCTAAGTCGAATTCTATTTAGCAGATAAATCTGCTTGATAGGTAACACGTTATGTAAATGGAAAACATGTTTACATACGAAACGATTGTAAAGAAAAGTATCTCAATGAACAGAATATATCAGTGAAAATACACTGATTTTTTTTTATCAACAATGTAATTATTAGCAGTGATACTTAGTTTTCGTCAACTATTAACAAAGATGGATTACAAAGTCTGGATTTTAATGATCTGAATAAGTCATCTTGGTTTTTTATTTATTTGTGCAGCAAGTGCTTTAAGGTGAGAAAACTTGAATAACACAAAATTTTACAGAATCAACGCACAGAGAATATAAATTCATTGTACAATGAACTAAAACTACCTTTCAACAAAACGATGAATTAATAATGCAATAATTTACGCGAAATAGAACGTGTTTAGGAATATCATTTTCTGTAAGATCTAAACTCCCATCACATCTATGTCAGTATGTAACAAACCGTATATTAGTGTCAATAAGTCTGTCAGCTTCAAGCTGTTGTTATAAATTTCAATCACTTCGATTAAATATTGGAAAGAGTAATGCGACATTATCATACAGTGAAAAATAAATAAAGTATGAGTCCCTTCAGAGTAATGAGTCATCACAATAGATAACATTATAGAATAAGTAAGTCAGTTGAGTCTTCACATAACTGTTTAATTGTAAATGAGTTAGAACACTGAATGTGTTAATTAAGTTAAGATATAATATCAGTTGGATAAATTTGGCTTGTAATAATGCAAATATTACTTGAGGGGTCGTTCGATCATATTATACATATTTTTAAAACGAAAATGATATTTACTTTGATAGAAACAACCGAAAACTTCCCCTGACATATTAAAAATACTTGTTATTATTGTTCATTGTGACTTGATTTTCGTAAGAATACTTCCATGTTTTAAACGGCTTGATGTTGAAAGTCTGATATGTGATAAGTTTATATTATGTCTCAATCGTCTTCAATACCTGAATATCTGAGAAGTTTTCTGCGAATATCTAAGTATTAGAGGTATTAAAATATTTAAAAATATATATAATATCCTTCCATATTTGCAAAAACTACTCAAACCTCCGGAGTTCATTGGGTTACACTTAGAAGTGATCATATTACCTATTTTTAGATTTACTAAAACCTGATTGTTTATATTTTTAAAACACTAACAAGTAAACACGGGGGATGAAAGTGTTCTTTCGCTTTTATTTACATTTATGTAATAGTTTTGGGGATTTCCCTACAATTACGTAACGTATTGTCAGCTACATACAATTATACTTTGATAACTGAACATGTGATTACAAATTCATCACTCATCTCAGAAAGCTTATTTACTTCATGGTCTCTTGAATTTTAAAAGCTAGTGTGCTATATACAAACGAGAAATAAGCCTACACATTAAATATGCATCATGTTATCTCTAGATAAACTTCATCTTCCCTTTTATCAACGTCCAGCTTTCAAAACGTCTACATTCTTGATGAACAATATTCTCACTAAACGTAATAATGTATGTAATTTGTGTTCAGATTACACTCATACACAAGCACCAGCGTGACCAAACTTCGCATGTTTTCCTTACTTAAGATCAGAGTACAATTTAAATGTAGTAAGACCATAAAAGACGTTACGGTTCTAGAAATAATTTATGTTGGGAAACTAAAAACGAGTTGTAGTTAACGCCATTAACAGACATACATATTTCATTCTAATATTTGGCAGAATTGATTCAGTAAAAGACTAAACATACTATTTATTTTTATGGGACAGTGAAGTTGCTTAGACAATTTAAGTGTTTAACATTTTATTATTATGTACAGTAATAACAAGTTACTTGTATGATATACTAGGTTAGTATAAACGTTTAAAATTGTTTACTAAGAAAACTTGAACACATTATGTTATTTTCTAAGTTTCATCGAAACTTAAGTTTTAAAGAGCAACACTTACCAGACAGAGCTTTACTTTCGCACAATGTTTATAAGAAAAATGTTGATGTTCCAGAACACTAAATCTGCTAAAAAGATAATAGCATAAATCGAGAAGGACTAAACTCAAGTTAACCACTGCTCTTAGTCTACCTGCCAGGTGAATGCCTAACCGTGTTAAACTCGGATTTCTACGCCCTTTTAAGGGAAGGAATCTGCGAGAAATTTATTTGCAGGTGTACTTGAACTGTCGTGCAACAGGTTTCATTGGTCTATCTCATCACGTGCCTGTGGAAACCCATACCACATAACAGAATAAATTTTCTTAGAGAAACACTTACACAGTAACATACAACTAGGTGGGTGTGAATAAGTCTTAATAACTTATATTATGACTTGGCAAATTACAGTGAGGAAAACTGTGTGCATGATGTAATAGCATGAGTCTGTTAACTATTATTACTTTTGCTGTAGCAACACGATGGTTAAACAAGACTGTGATTTAATATTATAGAACACAGTGAAGACTATTGAATCCGGTATAGAAACATGAGCATTGCTAAGATGTACTTCGAAGTTCTCTTGTAATATTTTCAAGAAATACTTGTAAGTTGTGATAAATATGTTTCTCGTGTGTTAGCAACATAAGAGCTGCACCATATTTGGGATAATATTCTAACAAAAAGTATATAGGTTACACAGTTGTGGTTAATGCTCAGTTTTTGTTTTATTTATTATAAGAAGATGAAGGTTATATTAAATGTTGTTGTTTTTTGTGCGTCATGGTCGAGTTTTATGTTCTGGTCTTAGATATTTACAGCATATTTCATCAGATAAAACTTTCTTACAGAGGAAGAATTTTAAAAAGCATAACAGTTATGCATTAATTGGAAAATAATGGAAACCCATCATTACTGAGTAGTAAGTACATAATGCCATACAGAGCATCATACATTCACAGCTACTCAGGTACTGCAAAATTTCTAACAATGAACAATTCCTAATTTCCAAAATTTATTTATTAGTGAATAAACTGATTTTATAAGATACTAGAATTAAATATTTTAAATTATTTTGTAATAAGTATGTGAATTAAAAATAGTAGTATAAACGAAATCATATTAAACACAATAAGGAATAATTTCTGTAGGGGAAATTATTGTATTTACTTATTTGGACTGTATTATGTATAGATGTATTAATGTAGATGTATCATAATCCCTATATAAGACATGCTACCATGTAATTCTTGTAAAAGCTTCGAAGATCCTGACAGTAACATGGATAGGTGGAGGATGGGGGATATACTAACAATTTAGGTTGGGCTTAGTATAGTAATACCTGAACATCGTTGTATTTATGTCCAAACATCATTATGGGGACTGGAATGCCAATTTCAAGAACAGCTTTACTGTCTTCCCCATTGGTGTATTGTATTCCAATTCTTCTTTCTTATTCCCTTTTTTTTTCTGAGCAGCCACCTTCCCACATCTGGTTGCAGACAGCGAAAGGCTAGAGCACCCACATCTGCTCTTCTTCTTTTTACTTTTTTAAGAATGAAAGGCCTGCGAAACTGAGGTTAAACTGGATAGAGGATGTACCCCCAACGCAATTTGGGTCTTACTTCCGCCTGTACCTCAAAAACTAAGGCCCATTGCATAACTACCCACC